TTGAGAATCCAGGGAGAGGTGAGAAGGCAGCGTCAATTCCCTAGAATGAGTCAACCGAAGGAGATGGAATTGTGTGTTAATGCGTTTTATGAATGGGATAGCCTTCTTTTATTGTCTTGGTGGATGAGTGCATGCCCTTCCTTGCATCGGTTAGCTTTGGATGCAAGCATTCTTGCTTTCTTGCGTTTTATGAAGGAGATGAAACTCCGTGAAACGGATCTCCGCAGAACCGAACGAAACAAACAGAGAGATCAACATGAAAAACAAAAAGGAGCAGCAGACCAGCGCCATCGGAGAAATTGGTGAATAAAACTCTATCGGCGTTGATCTGAGAGAAAATCTTCAGATCTACAAAGAGAGATAAATCTCCTGTTTGATTTATTTTGCTTGCTTTGTTCGAGTCGGCCGGTCGAGTGACTTTGGGGTGCTGTTTGGTTGGAATTTTATTCAGAATTAATCAATGTAGGAATTTGGAATAACCAATCATATAGAGGGTTAAAATAGTCGACACATATTTTACAATTAAACCACAATTAGCAAAACTATCAAACGAATAACTCGATAATCTTCATAAAAACTTATTGTTTATATCAAACCAGACGTTTTATAAAATGATAAAAGAATTACGAACAAACTAAAATATCTAACAAGCTGTTTCGTTACAAATCCAATTATCAAAAAATATTCTCAAACGGTTATTTTCTCTCGTCTTCAAGCAGCGACACTTCAACAAAAGCCTCCTTGTCTTCATCGACGATCATGGAATATCGAACACGCACCTCCGGCATGAATCTATACCCAGTAAGCACAAAAATGCTATCGTGCACAACTCCACGGCCAACACGGTGGTCCAAGGATGCTTATACTAAGAAACCGTCGCCAAAGCAAAAACCAGAGCACAAAAAGGCATTTGCTAGGGAACTTGAGGAGATATGGAAGAAATCAACAAGGGATTGAAAAACAGTGATTTTATGTCGATATTTTAGGTCACCTAAGATGCTTAGTTACTTGTAATCATATATCACGTTGTATAGAAAAAGAATTTGAAATTAAAATGTTTTTATTTACCCTAAAAATGAAACAAATACTAAACGTTATGTTAAAATAGATTAAAACTAGTAGTTTAGGTACTAATCACATAATTTATATATATATATATATATACACATATACACTTCACTCTAATTTAATATGATAGTTTTGCAATACGATAATTTGATTTAATGCTAAAAACAACGGAAATGACGAGAATGAAAATGTGATAGAAAAACATAATATGATATTTTCTAACATTTTCTATTGAACCTAAATATTATGAAAAATATAATATTTTCGATTATTAAGAATAAAACATTTTAGGTTCAATTGAAAATATTAAAAATAATATAATATTTTAAGTTATGTTTAATTAAAAATATTATATTTCTTTATCACATTTTCGATTACGTTTATTTCAATTAATTTTTAACTTTAATTTATATTATCGGTCCTTAAACGTTCTCACGATCCGACCGTGGCCTACTCTCAAAGAAGGCTAACTACTACATTTCATAGTTTTGGCCCAAAATAAATCATTGAAGCCCAACCTGTTTTTGAAGACCTTCAAACTCTCTATTGGATTTGAACTTCAAACTCTCTTTTTTCCATTCTAAGATTGAGAAAATGAAGAAACCCTTTAACTCAATTGCAACTTCAAGCAAAACCCACTTCGAAGAAAGTGAAGAAGAAGAGATGGAATCTTCATCCGACGAAGAGAAATCTAACGACTCCATTGATTCTGACGAAGTGGGTTTATTTTACCATAGCTTAAAATCTTTTTCTCCCGATTTTCAATTGGCTATATTGATTTTTTGTTTCGAGAAATTTGTAGGAGGAAGAGATAGAGCGTGAGTTAGCAGAAGTTACATTCGAAGAGCTACAAAATGCACGAGCCGACGGCACCGATTCAGTCTCTCGTAAACCCCGTTCAGATGCCAAACACCGCCGTGATAACAAGAATAGGTATCTTATTTACAATTGTGGAGATGTTTTTGGCTTCCATTTGGGGCAAGTTTTGTTTTTTATTCGGGTTTTGATTTGTGTTTTGTGCAGGCCAAAGGAACTCAGTAGCAACAAACCAGTGAGGTCATTTAGACAGGTTATTCAAGCTCCTAAAAAGGTAAATATTGTTTCTTTAAGATCTGGCTTTTGTTTTGAATGCAATAAGAATTAACATGCTGAATAGTATAATTGTAGTTTTGCTTGCCTAAATTGATGTTCATTGGAATTATGTGCTGGGTTGGTTAGCTTTGTAAGATCTTAATTCTGTCCCATTTATCTGAGCTTATAATTTTACCTTAAACTATTTAAGTTGGTCTTATGATTTATGGTCATGGATTCTCTGTTTTCGGCTTTTGTGCTTATAATTGATGTTAATATGATTTGCTTGCAAGTGGCAATCATAATTTTTGCTTATAATGTTATTTTGCTGGTTTATATGCACAATCCCAGTTATTGTAGCATTGATTCTGATGGAAAATCACAATAATTGAGTTCCTCTTTCTTTGGGGGAGGGGATGGGTATCGCTTTCTGGTTCTTGTTTTCAGTAACAAAAAGAATAAAAAACACTCAATGGTGAACCAAATCTGTTTGCTTCTTTATGTTCAGGTGGCACGAGACCCCCGTTTTGAATCCTTATGTGGTAAACTTGATGTTGATGGGTTAGACTCTTCTCTCTTTATCTCTCAATCGTTTACATTGATGTCATTTGTTGCTTTTCATGTTGAGTTCTCTTACCTGTGCCGCTGTGCTTGTCTTTAGTCACTAGTAATCTATTACATGATCTTAAAGGACAACTTTTTGATTGGTCGGTTGAGCTTCATACATTATTTTACTGAATCCACCACAAATATTACAATGAAATTTAATGATTACCAGTCTATGGAGCTTACTTTGATTGTAGTCTAGTTTACCATGTGACTGTATCTCATATTTGCCCATAATTGTTCAGTAAGTAATGATCTGGGTTATTATTTCTCAACCTCTTGATTGAGATAGCATTTGATGGTTGAGACTTGAGATTGCGTCAAAGTCGGTGGTTGTGACTCTCTACTTTCCGCATTATGTCTGTTGTAGACATATTGACTTTTCCTTAGCGTGCAGCTGATGATGATGATCTTTTTTTTCACATTCAGAAAAAGATATAATTTTCTGTTTGAGAACAATCTACCTGCTGAAAGAGAGGTATTCTTATCTATTTGACCTCTTTTTTGGGTTTATACTGTCATTTTCCAACAATGTATTTTCCCGATATGACAGGAGGTGCGGACACGACTTAGAAAAAGACCCAAAAGTCATTAGTGAACTGAAGAACCATATTTCTTGGATTGTAAGTATATATCTAATCAATCGAAATTACTATAGTCTACATCATGTTTATAAACCAGGGTCTTTGATGTGGCCTCTGGAATCTGGATACATCAAAGCACCTCCCGATCAACTTATTGACATTGTATTACATATCAGGACAAGCAATTAAAGTTCGAGTCAGCAAAGAATACTGATGCTGAGATTCTGGCTGCACACAAGAAGAAAGAAAAAGAAGCAGTGAAGCATGGGAAGCGCCCTTTCTATCTTAAGAAAGGTAATGTCACGAATCCTCTCCTTCTCACTATAGATTTTCTTATCAAGTAAGAAAATCGTATGTTAGTAACTATTAACTATAATATAGGAAGCTGTGCAAACTGTTATTATGTTAGCCTTTTAACCTTTCACATAATGTTGCATCATGTTGATTATGCCTATGAATCCATTTTGACGGATGCTAACTTGGATCACTTCTTTGCAGCTGAAATTCGTAAGCAAAGGCTAGTGGAGAAGTATAAAAAGCTCAAGGTACCTATTTGCCATATCTTGTAATCTAAACATGTTCCCTATGACATCAAACTCTCGACTAATTAACTATATTGATGATATATTATCAGGCATCCGGAAAACTTGAATCCTTCATCGAGAAAAAGAGAAGGAAGAATGCTGCTAAAGATCATAGATTCATGCCCTATCGTAGACCCAACAACAATGAGCAATAAAGTTAATGATTCCACAGTTTTATTTATGGCTCTAGAGCTGTATTTATGTAATCCTCCATCTTGGATGGTTAATGCATGCCCTCTATAGGTAGCTTCGAGCCAAGATTTTGACTGGCATAGCATCCTCCTTTAGGCATTGTGCTACCATTCAATGAGTGAAATAAAAAATGATGATTTTGTTCTCACCGTTTTGAGATTTTGTTAATTGTTTATAAATGGCTGGATTTCACATTTCAGTAAGTTTTGAGTCTTATATTTTAGGTTGGGTCGTACTTGAACAAATAAAAATGACAATAGTATCATAGCTCAACCTGAGCTTGGTCCGGCCCGTCGTTCATAATTCAGAATTCTGATAAATCTTTTGACCACTGAAATGCCTGCTATAGAGAATTTCAAGTTGCATGTTAGAACCAAAGGAATAAACATCAAATTAATCAATCCTCTCCCACTGATGTCCATGCATTTGAACCCACCTTGCTCCATAAATTGCCTCTGCATATCGGAATTCTTGTGCCTTTCGAGCCCGTTCCTTCCTTTGCAAGCAATTATATTCCGGATTTCCCTAGAAAACATGGGCACTTTTCCGATCCTAACCCGACTCAGATTGATGGAGTCAGAATTGGTAACTCTTGCTTCTCAACTGGTGCCTCTAAGATCAGCTTCTTGCAAAGACTAAAAAGGGCGGAAAAGGTGGCGAAGAGATTTGCAGCATGCTTTGACAAAGTGATCAAAGGAAATTATGAACACACATTTCAGTTTGTGAATCATTTGCTGAATTTGAAGTCAAATGCTATTTCGGTTTCGTTTCCCAAATATTCTCCACTTTTTAAGTCCATGGCGAGAAAGAAGCACAAAAGCCTCTGCTCCACAAATCTCTCTCTCTTCCTCCATAAATATGATGCATTGCCATTAACCAATCCTCGTAGTGGCAAGAAGGAGAAGGGAAATCCCATTTTCATGCTTTCCTTCTTCTCCTTATCCATAACAAAAATCCACCATTTCTCTTGAGTTTCAGCCCAGGTTTATACAATAATAAGAAGAAAAACGTTATCTGAAGACCCTTTTTCCATCCGTTTTCTGGGTGTTTTTCCTCCAGGGGTTGAATCTTTTGGTAGATTTAAACGATAAGTTGTTTGGAAGATATGAAAAACGAGGATCAAGTGAGGTCTTTGTTTTGGATTTCCCTCACAGACAGACCAAAATGGCAACAGTTTCTCATTTGCTCATCCCTCTTCTTCTTTGGTTACCTTGTTAATGGTGTTTGCGAGGTTCGTTCTCAATATCATTTCATTTCATTTTGATCGATTCCCAGTCATGCATGCCTTGCTTTTCTTCCTGTGGCTTCACTGTGTTTGATTGCCAAGAAAATTTTGGCATTAAACTAATCAGATGATTGTTGTGTTCGTTTGCTTCATTGTAGGAATACGTATATAACAGACTTCAGTTCAGGTACATTCATCACATATTTCCCATATTTTATACACATGCAGATGCTCATATACGTATTCATATGCATATACATATACTGATATACATATGAAACAAATGTTTTCAGCTACGGATGGTATTTTACTTTCGTACAAGGAATCATATACCTGGTACTTATACGGCTGCAAGGCTTCACCACAAAACATATGGTGAATCCATGGAGAACATATGTGAAACTGTCGGCTGTTCTGATGGGTTCTCATGGATTAACCAAGGGTTCATTGGCTTACCTTAACTACCCTGCACAAATCATGTTTAAATCCACAAAGGTAAACCACTCAGAGCAAACTGTGTAAAGCCGGCTTGTTTCGATTCGTTCTTTACGTTCTAGTATTAAGCTTGTCCAATCCGAAGCTACCATAATCATTCACTCGAATTTTAGGTTCTTCCTGTTATGATTATGGGCGCCTTCATCCCTAGCCTGAGAAGGAAATATCCTATTCATGAGTACATCTCTGCATTGCTTCTTGTGATAGGCCTCATCCTTTTCACCATAGCGGATGCTCAGACGTCGCCAAACTTTAGCATTTTCGGTGTTATAATGATTTCCGCTGCTTTAATTATGGATGCTTTTCTTGGAAATGTTCAAGAAGCAATTTTCACCGTCAATCCGGGCACGTCACAGGTTTGCCATTGGAATTTTCTTGAAACCTGTTGGAAACAAGAACATTCACCATTAATGTACTTGACAATTTCATGTCTATGCATGTTTGTTCATTCTTTTCTGTAGACGGAGATGTTGTTCTGCTCAACGGTTGTCGGAATTCCGTTCTTACTTCTACCGATGATTCTAACCAGAGAACTCTTTAGTGCTTGGAATGCATGTTATCAGGTAAAAATATATGATGTGATTATAGTTGGTCATTCTAGTTAGTGTTGAACATCGATGGTTCTACTTCAATTAAAACCAGGGTACAAAAAACCGGAAATCGATCATGAATTGCGCATGGCCAAGTTTATTTGAACAGCTACCATGATCATTCTTTATATCAGTCATAGGAAGTTTTGGATATCAGTAGATTTTATAGGAAAAAAATTATCAGCATTCAAGTGTTTTGATTTTTATCATGATCTCATGTTGCTAACAATTTGTGTTTCGTTTATGTCGATGAACCGCAGCATCCGTATGTGTACGGGGTGTTAGTGTTAGAAGCCATGGCCACATACGTCGGTCAAGTTTCCGTTCTATCCCTCATTGCCATCTTTGGTGCGGCTACTACTGCAATGGTAATAGTACTCATAGTAATCTGTTCCGATTTTCGAAAAGAGATCGATGTTCGAGTATTTCATGAATGTTTCAGCTAAGCTCTAACTACTAGTTGTTCTTATCGTGCCTGCCTGCAGATAACAACTGCTAGAAAAGCTGTGACATTGTTTCTGTCATACATAATATTTACGAAACCGCTAACCGAGCAGCACGGATCGGGGCTGCTGCTCATATCCATGGGAATCATAATGAAGACGTTGCCGGATAATAAACCGGCGCCGAAGATTCCGGCTTCGAATGCGTACGTCATGCATCCGAAAACCTCGTACAATGAAGTGGTAATTGTGGAACTTGAAGATGAGCGAAAGCCACTGGTCTGAGAAACAAATGCAGGGTTTAGCCCAAACTTTGTCGTTTAATTCAATTAATAATTTCACGTTTCAGATTTTAGTGTATGTTTATTTATCCTCCAATTTTCTATTTTATTTTTTCCGCAAACATTAAAAACAAATAAAATGGTAAAAAATCCTCTTAAATCCTTTATAATTTTAAAATCTAGCAGATTAGTCCTTCCAAAAAGGAGGAACAATTTATTCTTGACAATTCCGAGAATGAGCAATTAATCACGATGTTAACGTTTTTCTTTTTGGTGAACAAGGGAAATGGACAAATCTAAAGATTAAAAGACATGAACAGCAACACTCTCTTCCTGCAGCAAATGAAGCAGAGCATCCGGAGGAGTAGTGAACCACAAGCATCATTCCAAATCATACCCTCGAGTAAGTTTCGTCAAAGTTTCAGCAACTCGGTTCCCTACGATGAACATGTCGAAACTGAACCTGCCAACTTCGTTGTAGCAAGGCTGCAACATGCGCAGCGATCGTGGAATTGTTCATCCCGTCCTGAATTCACTCTATCATCCGAATAGCTTCCAAACTATCACACTCCATGATCACTTGAGAAGCCCCATACTCCCAAGCACACGTAAGCCCCAAAACAATGCCCCATAACTCAGCAGCAAAAACAGAGCAAATTCCGATAAACTTCGAAAACCCCTGAAGCCAAGTACCCTCGGAATTTCGACCCAGTTCATCGGCGGGGGACTCTACCTTGTGATCCCCGTATTCGGTTGCCTCTGTAAATGTCGCTTTGCAGCTTCCATGGCAATGGCTTTGCAAGTAAACTCCTTCAAGGATCTGCATTTATCAATCAAAGGACGAGAATCACTAATCGGGGATTCAAAAACAATGGAATAACGCAAAATCCACAGCTTCCAAATTATGGAACAGAATAAAATATCCCAGTCATGGCTATCCCTCACAAAACCTTGAGGATTTGATAAAAATTCATAACTAGCTAATCCCGAAAATTCATATTCAAAAACTCGTGCATTTTATCGCCTTTGACGGTGACCAACCAAATTGATGTAGTCGCCGAACAACGTCGAAGAATATAATCTATGTCTTCGACCGGACTGTGGTGACCAACCAAATTGATGTAGTCGCCGAACTGTTACGGAAGACGGCTATCGGATAGAGCAAAATCGCAACTGATAATTTGAGAAAATAAAAATGAAGATAAAAAGAGACAAAATTTACGTGAAAAACCCCTAAATAAAATAGGATAAAAACCACAGGCAACGGTAGAAGAATTTCACTATGAGAAAATAGGAATTACAACCTCTCTCGATCTACCAAGGAGAAAACAATTATAGTTCTCTCTCGATAAAAAGGAGAAAACAACTCTCAAGAAACTGTCTAAATTCTCTCTAGTATTGGAAGAAAGCTAGAATGCTTTGAGATGATTTTGAAGCTAAATGAGCTAGGGTATTTATAATTGAAACTTAAGGACTAATCTTATAAATACCCTAAAGTTTAGTGACTAAAGTTTATAATTTACCCATTTAATTTTCAAACATTATTGCACCTAATTTTGACATTGCAATATTAGGTGCCTAACTTGAACCAATTTTCCAAGCTTTGACATTTCAACAATCTCCCACTTGAAGATTTGATTGGAACAATCATATCTTCACACCATTCTTTCTACCTTGTACCTTTCATGTTGCTTACGTTTCTGACAGGCCACAGGAGGATCGACACCAGGTAAATTTATCAGCATTGATTGCCTTCGTCATGAAATCTGATATGTTGTATTTGGTATGGATCTTATGCATATCTACCGTTCCTTCTTCCACCTTTTCACGAATGAAATGGTACTGAACTCGTATGTGCTTAGTCCTTGAATGAAATGTTGGATTCCCTGCTAGATGCAAGGCGCTTTGACTGTCACAAAACAGAGAGACATACTCTTGATTGTGTCCAAACTCCTCCAATAGCATCTTCAACCAAATTGCTTCTTTACTGGCTTGTGTAGCTGCTACATATTCTGCCTCTGTTGTGGACGTATCCACAACTGACTGCAATTTTGAAACCCAGCTTACAGCTCCACTAGCAACTTTGAACACATATCATGTAGTAGATTTGCTTTTATCCAAATCCCCTGCATAGTCAGAATCTACATACCCATTGATTAGTAAGTTTGATCCTCCGTAATATAATGCAACATTTGAGGTCCCTTTGATGTATCTTAGGATCCTCTTTACTGTATTCCAATGCTCTTTGCCTGGATTCGCCATGTATCGACTAACCACTCCCACTGCTTGTGCAATGTCTGGTCTTGTGCATATCATAGCAACATCAAACTTCCCACTGCTGATGCATACGGTACTCGAGACATCTCCATCCTCTCTTCTTCACTGCTAGGACTCATACTGGAGGATAATTTGAAGAGGGGTAGAAATTGGCTTACAATCTTGCATGTTGAATCGTGACAAGATCTTCTTCAAGTAATTCTTTTGTGAAAGCCAAATCTTCCTATTACTTCTGTCTCGGTGAATTTGCATCCCTAGAATCTTGTTTGTTGATCCCAAGTCCTTCATTTCAAATTCCCTAGCCAGTTGTGCCTTCAATTCTTCAATATGATCTTTGTTGGGTCCTGCAACCAACATGTCATCCACATACAACAACAATATAACAAAATCGTTATCACCAGACCTCTTAAAATAAGCACAAGGGTCTGCATTAAGTCTGTTGTATCCAATGCACATAATGAAGGAATCAAATCTCTTATACCAACACCTCGGCGCCTGCTTTAGACCGTACAGAGATTTGTTCAACCTGCAAACCAAGTTCTTCTTTTCTTTTTTTTCAAAACCTTCAGGCTGGAGCATATAAATCTCTTCTTCAAGATTTCCATGAAGAAAAGTTGTTTTAACATCTAGCTGCTCTAGATGTAAGTTCAATGTAGCACACATTGCCAAAACTACTCGAACTGTTGTTAGTCGAATCACAGGATAAAATATTTCATTGAAATCAATACCTTCTTTTTGAACATATCCTTTGACCACCAGTCTTGCACGATACCTCTCAACTTGATCGTCACCATTTCGCTTGATTTTGAAAACCCATTTGTTACCAATTGGCTTCCTTCCTTGTGGTAGTGGCACAAGGTCCCATGTATTATTTTTATGAAGGGCTTCGATTTCTTCTTGCATCGCCATCATCCATAGTGAAGCATCTGAGCTGTTTATTGCCTCCTGGTATGTTGATGGCTTACCGTCCTCTGTTAAAAGGCAGTATGCAATATTACCTTCTATAACATAATCTGAGTGCCAATTGTGACATCTTCTCACACGATCTGATTGACGAGTTGTTGGAGCTTCAGAACTCTCTGGTTCTTGTTCATCATGTGCTGGTTCTACTTCAGAAGAATCTCATTCTTCAAACTCTTTTTCCACATGTATCTGAGTAGTCTCTGACTTTTCAGCGCTATCATTGTCTTCTTTTCTTTTTAGTTTATTTTCTACAAAGATAACATCCCTGCTAATGATCACTTTGCGAGCAGTGGGATCCCACAAGCGATACCCCTTTACTCCATCAGCATACCCCAAGAATTTACATTTCCTGGATTTTGGATCCAACTTTGAAATTTTTTGGGAGTTGTACATCACGTACACTATACTTCCAAATATATGGAGGTTTGAATAATCAGCTGGTTTTCCAGTCCACATCTCCATTGGTGTTTTCAGCTCTATTGCAGTTGATGGAGCTCGATTCACCAAATAACAGGCGGTATTGACTGCTTCTGCCCAGAATGATTTTTCTAGGCCTGCATCCCTCAACATTGCTCTTGTTCTTTCTAACAAGGTTCTGTTCATCCGCTCTGCCACTCCATTTTGTTGAGGAGTGTTCGTCACTGTGAACTGTCTTTTGATGCCTTCTTTCCTGCAAAAGTCATCAAATTCTTCGCTTGTGTATTCTCCTCCATTATCTGTACTGAAACACTTGATCTTATTTCCAGAATCAAGTTCCACCCGCGCTTTGAAGTTTTTGAAAGTTGAAAACACGTCTGACTTCTTCTTAATAGGGTGCACCCAACATCTCCTGGAGTAGTCATCAATAAATGAGACAAAGTATTTTGCTCCACCTAGGGACGTTACTGGTGCTTTCCATACGTCAGAGTGAATCAATTCTAGAACACTTTTGCCTCTAGAATTTGATGTGTTGAATTTCAACCGGTGCTGCTTACTTGTTATGCAATGCTCACACAAAGGAAGTGATACCTTTGTTAAGCCTGGAAGTAGCTTTTGCTCCAAAAGGACCTTCATTCCTTGTTCTGACATGTGTCCAAGTTTCTGATGCCATAGCATTGCCGAATCTGAACTACATGAGGCAACAGAGGCTTCTGCTTCTAGCAAACTCTTTCCCTTCAGCATGTACAAGTTTGCTGCTATCTTTTCGCCTTTCAGCACCACAAGCGCTCCACGGAACACCTTCATGATTCCTTTCCGTGTCTCAATCTTGCTTGCATTATTATCCAACAATCCGTAGGATAATAAATTTTTCTTCAGACCTTTCACGTGCCGCACATCTCGAACAACTTTAATTGTTCCATCATACATCTTCAATTTGATGGTTCCCACGCCAACGATCTCTAAGGCATGATCATTGCAACTATACACAGATCCTCTTGAGACAGGTTCATAATGATGGAACCATTCTCTTCTTGAGGTCATGTGATATGTTGCTCCCGAATCAAAGAGCCATATAGCAAATCGTTTTCTTCCTTCCACGGTGGTTGACGCTTCACAGCATAGAGCATCTCCATCATCTGAAGTGTTTGCGGTATTGCCTTGTGGATTGGAGTTTTTATTTAGACTCCAACAATCCTTCTTCAAGTGACCCTTCTTTCCACAGTTATAAGACTTTAAATTCTTCTTGCTTCTCGACTTCGATCTACCATGTTTGTGACTGCTGCTTTGGCCACGTTCTGTTGATCTCCCTCTCATCGTTGTCATCGTTGTCAACACTTCTGCTTGTTGCAGATTTACTTGTCTGTGTTCCTTGTTCTTGCGCCGATTTTCTTCTTGTAGAACAGCAGCTGCAACGTCATCGAAGACTAGACTGGTGACATTACTGTTTGTCAAGTTGATGATGAGTTGATCATATGAATCCGGTAGACTTTGAAGTAGAAGTTCAGCACGTTCTTGTTCTCCTATTTTACAGCTTAAGGATGTAAGCTGAGAAAATGAAGTGTTCAGTGTATTTAAGTGCTCCGTCACTGAAGTAGATTCTGGCATACGGAGAGTGTACAATTTTCTCTTAAGGAAAATTTTATTGTGCAACGATGTGGCCTCGTACAGTTTGGTGAGATGATCCCATATATCTTTAGCTGTCTTCTTCTCCTCGATACTTGACAATACTTCATCTGCTAATGCTAGATGAAAGTTTGTCATAGCATTTCCGTCCATTTCGATCCATTTGTTGTCGTCTGTGAAATCTACTGGCCTTTCGCTGATAGCTACTAGACAACCGTCTTTCCTCAGGATGGCCTTCATCTTCAATTTCCACAATGAGAAATTTCTCTCATTGAACTTTTCAATATCAAATTTCATTGCCATTGCTTCGTTTACGGATAGCTCCCACTATTTCACTATCGTGAATAGTTCTCTGGAACCTTCAAATAATGGGTAATAACTTCTTACTTTATTATGTTGGATGATCCACCTTTTGGTGGCAACCACAAAGACAATAAGCATATATTACACACTCTAATCTAGCTCGGATACCAATTGTTGCGGAAGACGGCTATCGGATAGAGTAAAATCGCAACTGATAATTTGAGAAAATAAAAATGAAGATAAAAAGAGACACAAAATTTACGTGGAAAACCCCTAAATAAAATAGGGTAAAAACCTCGGGCAACGGTAGAAGAATTTCACTATGAGAAAATAGGAATTACAACCTCTCTCGATCTATCAAGGAGAAAACAATGATAATTCTCTCTCGATAAAAAGGAGAAACAACTCTCAAGAAACTCTCTAAATTCTCTCTAGTATTGGAAGAAAGCTAGAATGCTTTGGGATGATTTTGAAGCTAAATGAGCTAGGGTATTTATAGTTGAAACTTAAGGACTAATTTTATAAATACCCTAAAGTTTATAATTTACCCATTTAATTTTAAAACATTATTGCACCTAATTTTGACATTGTTGTACCTAATTTTGACATTGCAATATTAGGTGCCTAACTTGAACTAATTTTTCAAACTTTGACATTTCAACACGAACAACGTCGAAGAATATAATCTATGTCTTCAACCGGACTGTGACAAATATGGCAGCTATACTCTCCAGTAAAATGCCTTCGATATCTCTTCATATTCGTCATTAGTCTCCCCAACAAATTAAACAATTTTTTTTGATACGATGAATGCCACGATACTTCTTTGTAAGATCCCATAAAAGATGGGTCTTTTTTCGTTAGGTTATAAATTCGTCATTTTTTTGTTAAAAAATTTAAAAATTGTCTAAATTGGACGTTAACACAATGATTGAGATATGATAATCGTTTGAGATTCTAAGATCGAATTTTATTATATCACAGTCAACAAGTTACCGTTTAGCTTAAAATACTATCAATTTTTTAACGAAAAATGATAAATTTAGAACTTAATGAATAGTTAAATTTTAATAACCGAGTGACTCAACAAAATAACATTATAATCGAATGACTATTTTATAAATTTTAATGATCAAAAGAGTTATTAAAATAATATCCTATAGTCGAAATACTATTTGTGTTCTTTCCCCTTAATATCCCATGGCTTTGTTTTGCATCCCTGGCTTCCACCTAAAGGGAAAAAAAACTAATTTTCTATTTTTCCTATATAAATAATTTCTCAATAATTTTTTCTGATTTTTTTAAGGGTAAAGTATAGTAATGGTCACTGAACATTTCTGAAGCTTGCATTTAGGTCCCCCAACTTTTAAAACTTGCAATACAGTCCCTCAACATTTATTCTATTTGCAATATGGTCCCCCAACTTAAATCACTGTTAGAAAATTAGGGTAAATTATATAAACGGTCATTGAACTTTTCAGGCACTTGAATTTAGGTCCCCAACTTTTAAAACTTGCAAAACAGTCCCCCAATAATTTTATTTTCTTATTAAATATAGATGTATAGAAAATATAAATGATTCAATTTATATTTAAATGTATGAATCATTTATATTTTTGATATATTTTATTTTTCTTGTATAAACTAGTATTTAAAATATGTTTATATTTTAATCAAAATATTTCAATATACGAATAAAAAATATATTTATATAAATGTATATTTATATTTAGATTATAAATAAAAAAATATATTCATATATTAATGTATGAATCATTTATATTTTTTGAATATTTTATTTTTAATAAGAAATTAAAATTATTAATTATATTAGAAATACTCAACTTAAGATTATATATATAATCATGAATTATAAATATGAAAAATATAATTATTAAATTAGTTTAAAATATATAAATCTTAAATTTATTCTTTTAAAATATTGTATCAACTAATATTTAAAAAATATATAAATCTATCAAACAATTTATCAATATAATATTTTTTATTGTAAAAAAATATAATATTTTCCCATCATTTATTGCTTTCAATTTTTTTGCCGAAGTTCAAATCTCATTATTTCCATTTTCCATTATATTCTTTTTTTTCTGGCATTGGTCATACTATTAGTATATGTATTATTGTATATCTCTTAACACAAACGATGGTGTTAGCTTAGTGGCTCCACTCTGTATCTTTCATTTGCGTGACTCAAGTTTGAGTTTGCCCAAGACCCAAATTTTACTTCTTTGTAACTTAATTTTCTTCTAATTAGGTGGTGACATGTGTCACCAATAACATATGTCATGATCATGTGTTAACACATGTCAGATCCTGGTTAAATGATTAATTTATTAAATTTTATTTAATTTAGGACCAAATTGATAGCATATATAAATAATTAGGTGGTGACATGTGTCACCAATGACACGTGTCATGATCATGTGCTAACACATGTCAGATCCTAATTAAATGATTAATTTATTAAATTCTATTTAATTTAGGACCAAATTGATTATATAAATAATAAAGACTGAATGTATAATAATGTCAATTCCTTTTAACTGGCACTTCATCATTTGTATCAATTGGTAACGACTAGTGGCTTAGTTGAAACAGTTAAATAATTATGTTGTATGATTGATAAATTTAAAAGATCGATGACAAAAGTAAAAAGGGCTAGATAGTTAAGTTGTCAACCTAGTAGTTTACACTTTTATTTATACGTCAAAATAACATTTTATAAATTTAAAATTCGAATTATTTTCAACCTCTTCTATATCCTAACTACTTTTTTTAATTAAAAAATTTCTTCAACAGATAAGAATTATACTATTATATTTATATAAAAAATACGTATCACATGAAATAAGATGAAATTAAATAATAATAAATCTGACATAATTGAATTTAATTGAATTATTTTGGAATTTAGTGTTTAGAATGAAATTGAATTACTTTGGAAATTGGGGTTTAGAATGAAATTGAGGACTGTTTTTGAAAGTTTTAAAAGTTGGGGGCCTAAATTTAAGTGTCTGAAAAGTTCAATAACCTTTTATATAATTTACCCTAATTTCTAACGGTGGTTTAAGTTGGGGACCATATTGCAAACGGAATAAATGTTGGGGACTGTATTGCAAGTTTTAAAAGTTGAAGGACCTAAATGCAAGCTTCAGAAATGTTCAGTGACCATTACTATACTTTACCCTTTTTTTAATTCGATCATATTTATCTCTCAAATAATACAACTTATCATCGCCTGCGAAATTCCTGGTTTCTCTTTCTCATGGTTCGACGCCGACCTGAAAAAGATTACGAATAATCTCCGATTATCGTATTAACAAGGTATGTTTTACGGGTTTTGTTTGGGGATTTTTCCTTTTCCAGGTTTCGTGTTCGTCTATTTAAGAAATTTTAGGTTTTCCTCCTTTTTTTATACTCTTTGACTCGTAATTACCGGTAGCTGTTCGATAAATTCCGATGGACTGGAATTTTCTATGTGTTAATTTAGGAGATCGATTGGAACTTTATGTATTTCTTCTGGAAACCTCAGATTATTGATGGGATTTTCGTTTAATTGGGCGTTTGAAAGATGAAATTAAGTTTCTTTCCATTGAATTAGGTTTTAAACATAAGCAGTTAAAATCCCTGTTCGGCTAATTTGAATAGTCAATATATGTGTGTATTTGTTTTTCTCGTTGGCTGGCCGAATCTCGCTGGAGTAATTTAAGTTTGATTCTATCTAATTCTCTGTGAAAATCAAGAAGTAGGCTCTTATCCTGTTTTCCTCATCGTTTATTGTAGAGACCAAAGTATACTTGCACAGAAGGAAAACGAAAAAGGAACCATGGGTTCTGAACAGAATGAAGGAACGAGCTTTCCTCCGTCAGAGCCAAAGCTTTGTGCCAACGGCTGTGGGTTTTTTGGCACGGCGTCGAATATGAACCTCTGCTCCAAGTGTTATCTTAATCTCCGGGCTGGGGAGGAACAAGCTGCCAAGGCGAAAGCTGTCATGAAGAAATCTCTCGCTGTCGAAATGAAGCTGGAAGAAGTGGTTGCTGAGGCATTCAAGCGCGTCGAGGAGCCATCCAATGTGTCCTCATCTACAGCCATCGAGCAACAAGCTGCCGTTGTTGTCGCCGCTGATGAACCGTCCGAGCCGAAGCTGGCAAACAGGTGCTTTATCTGCAGAAAGAAGGTCGGATTGACCGGGTTCAAGTGCAGATGCGAGAGTACCTTCTGTGGTGAGCACCGTTACCCGGAAAAACATGAGTGCTCCTTTGACTTCAAGGGTGCTGGACGCGACGCCATTGCTAAAGCAAATCCGGTCGTTAAAGCCGATAAGATGGACCGGTTCTGAAAGGAACAAACGCAGGTGTGCTCGAGTCGTCTTTCTTGAATGAATTTACCTTTTGTGTCTTGTGTGCTGGCTTTCAGAGGTCAGTGGAAAATCATGGGCTGTTTTAATGATCTTATATCGGGTTTGGGGATGATTGGGATGATGTTGCTGCTATGCTCAAGTAGATTCCATTATCAGAATGTATCAACGGACCATTAATGTTTACGGTTCAATTGGCTTCGAACCTTTCCTACACGATCTCCATTTTATCCATATTTATTGTGTTTGTGTGTGCCATTTATTTGTTAGCTTAAAATCTATTGAAATTTTGATGCCACATAATCTATAGCTTGAGTTGCTGATAAGTTTGCACTCTGGCTTGTGATAAAGAAAAAATCAAGTTTTTTTCCGATTAATGGGTAAATACAAGTAATATCTGTTAGTATCTCTTTGACATTGACGCTGACACCTTTAACATTTTTTATGTTCAAATTTGGAACTTTTATTACCGAGATTATTTAATTCGTGTATTTGAATTCGGGATTTTTATCACTTGATTCGTGCATTCGAATTCGAAATTTTTATTATTGAAGTCATTTGATTCGTGATAAAGAAAAAAAATTAACGAGTATTGGAAAAGAAAAGTTGATGAGTATAGTTGTGGGGGGGGGGGGGTTAATACTTCAAATCCGACGTAATTGTTATTCAGTTTGCCACTCTTACCTCTTTATTAAATATCATAAAGGGTAAATTATTAAAATGGTCACTTTCAATTTATTTTTATTTAATTTTGGTCACTGATTTCTAAATATAATATTTTCGTCACTTATGTTATTGATTTACGTGATTGATTTATACAATTTTAATTATTGAGGCACTAAATGTTATTAATTTAATAATATGAAATATTAGTGAAAGAGAATAATATTTAATTTTATCCATAAATTTTAATAAAATATTAATTTATTTTTTGAACTTTTTATTATAAAATATGGTATCTTAAAATTAAGGGTAAATTATGTATTTAGTATCTAAACTATTAGTTTTGATCAATTTTAGTACTTAAACTTTTAATTTTTTTAAAACCATGCATGATGTTTAATTTTTGTTTCATTTTAGTACATCACCTTTAAAAATGTAACGTGTTTAGTACCCAAACTATCAGTTTTAGTCCATTTCAGTACTTAAACTTTCAATTTATTTCAAAACTTAACATTAAACTATGAACAGAGTATTAAAATGAAATAAAAACTAAACTTTAGGTATGGTTTTGAAAAAGTTAAAAGTTTAGGTACTAAAATCGATAGTTTAAGTGCTAAACATGTAATTTACCCTAAAATTAATATGCCATATTATCAAATTTAATAACGTTAAATGTCTTGATTGAAAATTATAAATTGATTAATTAATTAAAATGTTAAATCAATAATTAAAAACAAATAAAATAATTTAATCCATTAGGAAAACATGCGTTGAGTGTCTAACGGAGTGATATGCGGCAAGGCATGCCGATTTTCAGTTAAAAACATTTTTTTAAAAGGCGAGCTGCGATGGAATCCAGTCAGACACCGACACGCTGACGGTTTGGTGGAAACATATTAGTTTCGTCGTGAACGAGGTGGTCAAAATAAAAAATAATATAACGACTAACGCCGATAATTGATCAGATTATTTATAAATTAGAAAAAAATAAAATAAAAGAATAAAGAAGAAAAAGTTTATAGACAATTTAAAACGATGTCGTTTTGATATAAATTTAAATTTTTTATAATAGCATTGGTTTTTTGTTTGTATCATATCATAATATTATTAAATAGTTAACGAAGAGTAACTAAAATAGGAACAATTCAAAAGTTTAGTAAGTAGATTGAAATATCTAAAAGTATAATGAACAAAATAAGAGAAATAGTAAAATTCAATGAAAAAATATATATAATTTACCCTTTTGGGTAATTCCTTCCGCGTATAGATCGAAAATTATCTTTGAATTTAATTCATATTTAGGGGGGGGGGATAACATTAGAGTTGTGAGGACCCTGCACCTTGTTTGCAGACAGTAGGCCTACGTTTGGGGAGTGTCAGCAAGTCGTGGGACATCACTCGAATGTTGGAAACGTTTTTTTACGTAACGGATGCAAGCGGGAACCTAGCGGACCCCAAAAATCATCGAATCGGTAAGACACAAGATCGGTTTAGGTAACTTAAAGGTGAAGGAGTCGACATTTAGGTATCATGAAATGGCTGAAAGGCAGGAAGAACACGAAACCGGCGTCGGCGGGGCAGTTTTGTCATCGATCGGGAGCTTAGTTAGAAAGAATCTATACAATCTGGGGTTGATTAAATCCTGTTTCTTGAGAGGGAAATCTCCATGGTAGCAATGTGGTTGAACAAAATAGGTATATTAATTTATTAAGTTCATTGAATTTTATTGCTGTGGTAATGCTGTTCTCTTGTGAATGGTTTCTTAATCCATGTTTCATGGGAGGTCAAACTAAATACTATATCTGTGCACGAATATTCATATTTGATGCTCACATGTGTCGTATTTGATGTTCATATTCTAATGTAAGTTTTTTTTTTTTTTATTTTAAAGACAAATGAAAGCTCCTTAAGACTATTAGTATAATCTACCCTAGTTCGTTTGTCTATAATTTGTCAAATCAAATGATATTATAGGGAGTTTGCAAATAATTATGTTACAAGGGTCTGAACTTGCAATGACTCAATTATGAAGCTCTGAAATTCAATAATAAAGGAACTTTGGTACAACATTGTCAATGGAAAACTAGGGTTGTTCCCAACAATGTTTGTATATGAACAACGAGAAGAAACTGCTAATTTATGTTCTCTATTTACACAAGTTGTCTGAATTTCCAAGCATGATTAGAAGAAATGTACAGTGAACCCACACAGAAGGGAAGCAAGGAGACGATAAGTAACTCCCAAGTCGATCGTAGAAGAATGCAAGTGGCTGCAGTGTGTTGATTCATCATCAGCATTGCAGAATGAGTGCAGAGTAGCTGATAATCTAGGCCATGAAATTCCGAACCTTCCGGAGCCGAAGGAGATGACTGGCTTTCTTCCGAATTACTTTCAGGATTGCCCCCGTTATCTTTCGGTTTGTCATCACGATCAGGATCCTTCTTATCATTTTCTTTGCTGTGGCTCCCACCGGTGCCGTCTTTCGGGATGCTCTGCATCAACTCTGGGTGAGCCTCTAATCCCACCCGTCTCAGGTGCAGCTGCCATGATTCAGACACCAGATGAAGTAACAGTATTCTTGATATGACAACCGCATAATCATATATGAATTAAGCCATTAATATACAAAAAGAACTTCATGTACCTGAAGATGTAGGTTAACTTCATCCGGGCGGGAAAGAAAGGGGAAATCACCTCCTGTTTTCAAATATGCTCGCCTAGCACCCGGGTACCTCTCACTCAGCTGATCTTTAAGTTCAAGAGGAATTGATGAGTAGTCGTTCGTCTTCAAGGCCATGTCAGAAACCATGTCAATTATAAAGATAACAGCTAAAGCTTATATTTTTCCTTGCATGTACAAGGATAGAAGGCAAAAGCTTCCGAATACGAACACAAGGTTTTGCAAGAAGGAAATCTCAAACATTTCTACAGCCATGAAGCTAAGGAAAATTTCTCATTTTAAGCAACAAATTAGCTAGATGATATCTAAACATAGGAAAAATGAACAAAAGATTCTTTTAGTCATAATTAATAGAACTAACAGCCAATGAAGATAAATTTTCTTCTCTATTTTTCCTTGTCGAGTTTGGCACCAAAAAAAATCTTGTTTTCTAAGAAAAAGAATGAATTGGGATAATGTTTGTTTGCAAAGCCCAAACAAAGCAAGTTTCAGACAACTTACATCCATTATCGTAATATACGAATCTGAAATAAGAAGTGGTTTAACTGCGGCATTGTCAACAGTCAACGTCAACCTGGATGCTAAGTCATCTCTTGAGAGCGTTTCGACCTGAAATGATTCACATATGGTCTAAGGATAAAGAAAGCAATCACTTTCTTACAACAGATTGTTTTTGCATTTGAATGAGCAAAATACATAGTGCTTCATACAAAATGATAATAACAAAAATCCAATAAAGAAGAATAGTCCCGAGTGTCCGTGAAACATACCTGTGAAACAACAAAGTCCACAGAATCAGCAATAAAAGGTTCATGAGGACCATCACGGATTCCTGTTAAGACGTATCGCTTCAACAAAAAAGAGGGGGCCCAACCAACACTGCATGCGGAAAACTCATCTTAATAACACTTTCATAGACACACAAAATGTAATATTAACAAAGATCATGCAAGGATAAAAACCAAGAAACAATTGCAGGAACTACATAAAAATGTAGGGTTTTAAAGGTTTTGATTAAATTTGATATCATAGAGACTATGAGGAGCGATAAGTAAATTGATACCAGGGGAAGACTGGCTTAATAGAAAAATATATGTGAAATCAGAATAAATATACTTTTTCTTTCATCCAAGAAAACATGGAACTTGCAAAGAAACTTTATCAACTCGATTCCACCACAAATTCGCAAGCATGTAGTTATTTGATTTCAAAATTACGATGAATTTACAGCCCAACACAACATAAATCTTAAGTAAATGAATTACTGATATGGATAAGCCAACAAATGAAACACGTTTAGTATAGCCTAGAATTGTTAACAAGAAATGTAAAACATACATAGGTGCCCAAGGCATAGCTGTCGCAAAAGTGCGTGTCTCCAAAAATGTATTCGATAGAATTAAGGATTTAACACGTCTAGGACGATGTTGAGCAAAAAGTTGAGCTAGGAAGCCCCAAGGGATGTACCATACAGATGTATCTGTCAAAGACATGACAGTCAAGTCTGTTAAGTAAGTCTTACAATTCAAGAGAAACTACTGCTACATGACTACAACAGTAGAGCCAGTAAATTAGAATAAGATCTCTTCATTGAAGAACTGTGCGGTCTACTTAATATTACAGAAATAAGAGTATTGCTTCACTTTAAGCAGGCAACCTATTATTTGCTCCAGAAACATATAATAGTAGTAATAAATATGAAATAGCCACTGAAAGGAAAAATAAGTGTTACAATAGAGAAGGAATGAAGCCTAGGCCACAAATAAATTTAAGTTCTCACATGATGAACATCGATAGCATCCAGGAACTTTTCGAAACTTGAATCCACTCTTGATGATTCCAAACACATGGAATATCCACGGAAATCACCCG